TCCATTCAAGAATCATTGAGGTTCCATTCTTCAGGGAGCATGTCCACATACAAGAGAAAGTCTCTCCTGATTCAGAATTGTCATTGTGAAGTAATGAGAGGTGGCATTGAAGGAATACCACCTGTTAATTAGACAAAACCAGGTGAAAATGAGACCCACCTGGACTAATTGAATAATTGGCATATAGAGGGAATGAGATTCCACAAGAGTGAAGGAGCAGACAGGATTGGCCACTTCACCATACATTCCAGAAGAAAGTGTAAGGAGCAATGGGAGCAACTGGCATGTAGAATCTCACTCCTTCTGGATGTTGATTATTTAATTAGAACAGGTGTGTCACATTCTGACCTGCTTTTCTCTTACTGAGAGATGGCTTTCTTTTGAAACTAGTGCTCACTACTTCACGGGCATGAGTAGATTTACTGGTCAAAATGAACAAGGAGGGAAGTATATCAGCAGCTGCTTTTAAAATTAGGTTACAACTGTTATCTATCCCTGGTAGCTGGGGGTCTGTGAAAAGACACAACATAATGATGCATTTTTGCTGCAACCGAACAAGCTCTGACTTCCTGCTCCTCTTATAGTACATTCTGACTTATTTCACAAGTATGGACTGCATCTTTCTGGTCAGAATATTATTCCTTTTTTTAATGCCATCATATCTTCATTATACTCTGAACCTGTGACCTAAATTAAAAATATACTGAAATTCTTATACCTAAGGCAGAATGAGAATGACTGCCACAAACCCTTGTTGAATACTTTGTCTTTCAGAAAGCTGGTAGCACATACCTGATTCAATAAGTAGACTGTCCATACCAGATAAATCAAACATCTTCCCAGTGGCTTAAGAAATGGAGAACAATGTACATGCCTGCTACCTTCTCGGCCCTGTATGAGAACTCTTGTAGGCTTCTCCATATAATGCTCTTTTACTTGCAGGGAATTAACGTATTTATTCATATCTTTGCTTTTCTGCCTATAACCTTCAAAACCTTTTTCATGGTTTAAACATTTGTAAATACTGGACTACACTCTGTAAGTGAGGTGGCCAGTCTGTGTTACTGATTCATTACTGTTGTGACTGATTTTACTATGGTTACTGATTTTGTGGTCAGTGTTCTGTACAGTAGCTGCAGCGAGGAACATACAGCCATCCTGGTACTGTACCGCCTGCTTTTGTCTGCTAGGAGAGACAAACTTAACCTTAACTTAACCTTTATCCTAGCAGCCTAACCTAACCAGCTTGCGTTCAGAGAAGAACCGGGAGCAAACTCAACACATAAGGTGTCCCTGTCTGAAACTGAATGTTGGACATGAGAACTTTCAGTACTGCCATACCACTGTACCACCAATGGTTAAAGCAATCTTTTTTTTTTTTGCTCCATACATTGGCTCAGCTAGTTGGAGCCCTGATAATCAGTAAATGCTTAGTAATGCTCATCAGATTCCTTATGATACAGCAGAGCTGCTGTTATATACAGTAGGTGGCATTCTTGTAACCAAGTCCCTCGTAAATAACCATTATCTATAAAATTGATATTAAGATCTAGAATCAATAAGATCAATAATACATAAGGACCCATTTTGCACAAGTTGCAGCTTAATCATGATCATATTACTATTCTGTTCTCTAGTCTTCTCATCAAAATATAAAATATTTATTTAAGAAAATTTGGATGAAAAACTGTATTTTTATATCGAAACTACATGATTTTGTAAAACAAAACTGTCATTTATGCACCCACCCTAGAAGGGGGCATTAGGACCTAGTCTATCCACAAAACACAGACAAAATTATATTTACCAGTAAGCAGGTCTGTTGCAAGGTTTAGTCCTTAGATAATTAGAATTTTTACATCTTATTTGATCTTGAAATCACAAGATATTGGAGTAGTAACCATGTTTTGTTTATTTTGTTATATCAGGTGATAATGGAACATTTATTATTTTCTTTGAATTACAGTTATGTCAAGCCAAATGAACTAGCATCACTTTTAATCCACAGACTATGCATTTACTTACACATTGGTACATTGATTTGTCATATTGCAATATAATATTGAAAGCAATATCATTGTTATTAGTAGTATTGGTGATTGTAGGTAGTAGTAGGGCCATAGCAGTAACTGAATGCAGGAACTGTAATTCTAAGCAAGGCAGTCTTGGTCATTTATTAATGATTAAAGTGAATTATAATTTGCAGAATTTAAGGATTTATACAGTGGTGCTTTTAAAATATACAATACTGTTTCAATTTACATTGAATATTCACTTCTTCCTCTTTGGCCAGTGAAAAAGAGGTATACCCATCGTTCTTTGTGTTATAGATTTTTACTTAATCAAAATACAATCAAGTCTGCCATTATATGGAAAAAATGCCCTTCAAACCTTAAGCTGGTAAACAATCACTGGGCCAAACTCTAAGATGCCTGTTAAGAAAACAAAACTCCTTTAAAGCCCGTTTGACAGAAATTAGTTTATTATGAGGGTAATGGTGGTCTGGTTATCTAGAACGCTGTCCTCTGTGTCCAGGAGATAAGATTTTTATTAAGAGACTAACGTTAATGTCTGGGTTTCGCTTTCAAAGCGCACAAGAATAATGGACTTTATCTACTCTATTAGGCTTTGTGCTCAATCGGTTCGCTGATGTTTTACTCTCTTTCAGACAGCGAAAGCTTGGCAGTCTTAATAAGTTTTTTACAATCCTGGTTTATCGGTGGGACAGCTGGAGCTATTTCTTCAATACGTCACAGCCTGTTTAAAAATAGTTTAAAACCACGGTTGGCGAAATTAGCCGATCTCTGTTCAGCTACCCTACTTTGAGCCAAATCATTAATCCGTAGATGTTTTATTTCATTTAGTTTTGTATTCCACGTGGAGAACATACTTCAATGCAAAAATGAAAAGACAAAAGTTCATATTTTTTAATTTTATTTTTAGATAATTGGAAAAGGATTATGCTAATCAGTTTGAAAGTGTCTACATCAGAGACGCTACCTCTAGAAATAAAGAGTATTCTATACACCTTCTACTAGACGTTCTAGCTCAAAAGTGATACTTCGTTTGGGAGTAAGTTTTAAACAAGGTAGTTATATATTTTTTACGCTTTCCCTTATCAGACCATTCTGCTAATAAGGGGAGAACATGTTTAAACCTATATTGTTAAAAGCCTATATTTAACATGACATGCGCAAGCTAAGTAGGCTGTAACTTCAATATCTTGATTTTAACACTTGTATATATACATTTATACGGTATTGTAATATTTTCTTGAAAGAATGTGATAACTGAATAATGGGGTTTGATGGATCATTTAAAGCAAATTAAGGATAAAACCCATATACTTTCTAATGCTTGATAAAGATGATCAGTGAAAGGCACTGTGAGCGGTCACCATCCAAACGCGATTTAAGACCCGTTTCTTCATCGCTTGTTTCTGCAAAAGCTTTCTCGGGGACGTTTAAAGTATTGTGCTAAGATTAAATCTGACTTTAAACTGTAGTCCCGTTACGAAGTCTAACCTTAATCCCGAGAATCACTTAGTGCAAAAATACTAGAATAACAACAGCAAATGTCAAACAAGACATAATGGGGCAATACAATTAACCCAGAGAAACACTCGTCTGTGACAGACTCCCCTGCATAAAACAATACTACCATGCCGTTAAGACGGTGCAAAGAATGAAGCTTGCCGACTGCACCCCCAAGTGATGGGCTACACCCTTCGAGTGCCCTCAGAGCATTGTCGTCAGAGATCGCCAACGAATCACTTTGGTGTGCAGTGCCTTAGCTAGAGTCCCAGACTGGAGAAATCAAGACAAACCACGGATGGGAGCTGGAACAATTTTTCCTGTACCGCGTTAAGGCAGGAGTGTCTCCAGCATCTAGGATCGCAAATACAAAACTAACTATGGGATATTAAACTGTATTTTCTTTTTGTCCCATTTCTGTGGAGAAACACCAGGCTTTAGTTTTGGTGCTTCTTAAAGGGAAATTGACTCTAGCTTGCCCCTGGTCTGCCTCCATCAGAAAAGTCGTTCCTACCGTCTGCAGTCACGCACACTGGAGGTACTGTACCTGCCTTGCTATATACAGTGTGCACGCATCAGTCCTGCACAAATAGGGAAGTATGAGTATTCATACAGATGAGCGATTCCTGCCATAATGTGATCTAAAGAAAACACTAAGGTTTATACGTGCAGGATTTACTTATTAAAACAAATTAAAAAGTAGCTAACCGGTAAACCAAAAAAAAAAAACGAGATCAAACTGATCATGTAGCTGAGTTCTACGACTGATGGACTTTTTGTTCTGGGACGGGAGCTTTTCCGAAGAATACCATGCAGAATACGGAGAACCGACGAATTGGATAACGTTATTGTCCTCGTAGAGATAAACCTGAAATGACTACTCGATGCAGACTGCCTTCGAGTTGCTTGCTTATGACACGTCATTTTATCGCCGTCCATAGCTTGTGGAGTGACTTTTCAAAATCCCAGCAGTGCTCTTCTCCTATCGTGTCCGTACCGACAGACTGCGATTAACACAGTTCACATCAAATCAAACCGTATTTTAACGAATGCACGTCTACACAACTCACATGTGTAACTCAAATACCTTAAATAAGTTCCCCAATTTTAGGGTTTGAACCACGTTTTTGTTTATTTTTTTTAAATGTAAATTAATTTAACTCCACAATTTGTGGGTCTTTTATTTACGGGTATGAAACAGTCTATGACTGAAAAAGATAATTGCAAACCATTGAATCAAGGTTTACAATAAATAATATAAACCAAGAAATATGGACATTTTATTCTTTCTTTATGGAAACGTGATGCTTGATATTTAAGATGCAATTCATTTCGGAGCAGCTAACCTGATTATTCTATCCAGTTTCGTGGATATGCATCTTGAATGAGACTCGTACAATCCTCTCATTACTTAGAGTTGAATGAGCACCGGCCGGTGGGACTGTTCTTCAGAGCTCCAAGCAGAAAACGTATTTAGTCCCCACCGCGGAGTACCAGAAGAGCAAGCTACACTCTGTGAGTGAGTGATTGAGCGGCGAGTACGCGAGGGAGAGAGGAAGAGAGAGCATCCAGAGGTGATCAGTGGTGGGGTGTTTTTTTCAGTCCAAGCATTACAGTTGCATAGGACGACTCTCGATCATACCGGCAAACTCCAAGGACTGGCAGCAACTGCGGTATGATCTAGGTTCGAGGGATTTGCTAATGGATTGTGTTGGTTTATTGCTCGGTTGGATTATTGGACACGGGAAGGCTCCTAGCAAGAAAAGGTTGCCTTTTGCGGGGCATTGAGGGGAGTGGTGTGGAAAGACCGTAAGCTCATTAGGAACGACTCGCTGAGTGGAAGGAAATCTTGTTTGGATATAGTCCCATGCAATGCTAGGTGGACATAAACAGACTTGAAATGCCCATGAGAAGGAATATATAAATGCCCATCCAGCATCCCAGGGCTCAGGATTTTAAAAACAAATTCATGCCATGGCTTTACAAAACTCGCAGGACCCTTCTGGGACAAGCAAGAAGAATCCCAGTCTTATAGACCTGGGAACATTTTACGTAGACTCTGATATTATTTTTGGATTTACAAGCCACCTTTTGAGAAGGAAAGCTAAGGTAGGTGCCTTCAAGCTTTATCAAACCATAAACTAAAAATAACTCTTTACAATGAACGCATAACAAAAGCATGCTGTTTGATACGTCAGAACGATTGCAGTACATCTATATTAAAGTATTAAGTATAAAATAATACATATATATAGGGTTAGTATTATATGCTGTTCGGTTGCATCTTTCGTTTCTCGAATGGGTACCTAGAAAGAGACTTCAGTACCAAGAACAGCGCACTTACCCCATTATCGCGAACAGGTTGTTTGATCCACTGTATATAGACTTCTAAAACAGTCTACTCTTACAGTCTCTCATCGGCGTTGGTTTTAGAATTGCACATAATTAAAGTTCATCTTCATAAACGTACTGAGTGTACTGGTGAATCTAGTTGCGCTGATATATAGACATAGACATTTGTCACATTACCCACAGCTTTCATAGGAAGAGGACGGTCTGTCTTCACAAAACTCGAGAAAGACCAGTGGACCACGACTGTTGCTTTGTGTGGTCTGCTGTGCTTTTAACCTAAGTCTGTGTACCATCGTCTCAGAGAACGAGTCTAAACATGTTGTGAAAAATGTGCTCCACAGTTCATTAAATAAAGCAAATAACACATTGAAAGGAATGGTTTACTATAGTTGCAATGTTATCGTACGTTTCTTGATGTCTTCTGATTTTCAAGAGACGTTTCGTGGCAATCCGAGCGCTTTCGCCTTTATAAGTTGTAATGTAGAGAATGGAATTGAAGTAATATTTTATTACAATTGAAATTAGTAATATGAAATGACCTCTTTGAAAAAGGGTGGAAACTGGACACCTATTTGAAGCAACAATAAATTAACTTATTCCTGATGCCTTCAAAGTAAAAGTAACCTAGAACAGGGTAAAATGCCCGTGAATATGGTTACTGGTTGTCCCATGCAAACTAATGTGCTGAGGTACGCATATTTATTCCGCAGTAATCCAGTCTGAATTGTTACACCCGGTCAGTTCTACACGACAGTGCCCACACTTGTCAGTAGAGTGTACGTCGCTATCTAAGCATACATTAAAAAAAGGTATTTTCATTTTAAAACTCCCCAAACCGTTATTTAATATCCAGCTAACTTAAAATGCGAAAATCTGCTATGATTAACGGCTTAACAACAGTTCACTGCTTTATATTGTATGTATTTTTGCTATTGATTTTTAAACCTAATTCTAAGAAGCTGTTTCATGCGTTTATTTGCACAGGACAACATTCTCTTGTTGAAAATGTCTATTTTTTTTATTTTTATCAGACGTTGACAAGACCATACCAAGAGCAAAACAGGGTGAAATCTGGGTGTGACTGTGTAAATGTGACATGTCCGACAGGCTGGCGTATAGAATTAAATTTATTTTTACAACCTTTCCATATGGCTCCACTCATACTCTGTTGACGATCTACAACATTTAACACATAGCCTTTTCATTATAACATAATTAAAAGCTGCGAAGAATTTACTTAGACATATATCTTAAACATTATGTGAAAGGTAAATACTTTTCTTGTTTAAATTCAATTTTTTCATCGCTCATCTATCTCTAACTCAATGCCAGTTGCTCTTTATCTTATACGATACGCGCATGGCTTTACAGGGAAATTCCGTGATAAAATAGATGATATTTTGATAATATGAAATAAAAATATCTGGCTGTCATTTCTTACATCACTTGTATTAAATATTTAAGGTTGAATATTAAATATTTAAACTTAGCCTAGATCTTAAGTCACGATTGCTGTGGTAAATTGTAGCTATTCACCAAATGGTGGCGCCAGTGTAACGAGAAATGAAGGCTTTGGTTAATATTATCTAGGAATGGGGCACAGCCTTTGAAACAGCAAAGGCCGCTTACCCACTTCTGAAAAGAGCCAGTGATGTTGCGACTGTAGCCTAAATAAAGCCTGTGAGATGTTACAGACACACAATGAAAAGCATTTAAGGTCAGGGCGTTTTCTGAACTCGTTTTCTTTTATATTTCCTCACCCTGACAATTTGATATACTGTTGCATACAGAAATATATACGATTCGATTTGATAGGAATTCAAAGATTTTAGCACTTAAATTGGCACAATTTACGGATAGACAGACAATACATACAGAAATTACTATGAGTATAAAAGGGTATTTTGGGAACTTTTCGGTCTAATTCATATACAGTAGTTGTAATAAACCTCCAATGCTAGTAAACAATCAGTATTTTAACTCAATTATAACATACTTACCATTTAACAGTCAACGATACCATACTACAGTAGACTTGTTGTGAACCAAGGGTTTGTACAATGCAGTCACTACTGATTTGCTGTATATTCATACATTCCCGTCATACATTTAAATTGGTTCAAATAATCTCGTAACCTTACTTTATGTGCCAGTAAACTTGCAGATGGAATCGGTGCACTGCCAGCCTGCGCATTCATCGCGAAGGGGCTGGCTATTTTATCTTTCGATCACGTCTGCCCTCGTGTAAAGGCAATTAAGAGAATTGATAACGCTGATATTAGGTGCAAAAATACCGAAATGTAGGCACAGCTTCCCTCCCTCCTAATACAAGCTTCATAAAACGCGAATTCACAGCAATACTAAATCCTGAAAGTGCACCTGACACAGTAAATAAGAAAGTTTAGTTTTAGGATTTTGCACTTTGCATACAACGTCATTCTTGGTTCAGTGGTCGTTTATAATGTCCTTACTTTCACCAACATTGCTGTACAATACATTACTCTTACAAAACGAAAATGTAGTTTTGTTCCGAAAATGCGCAGAAAAGGAACCGTTTAGGACATATTAGATATTATAATAGATGCATGGATCTCTCATCGTGATCCTATGGAGACACATATTCAATAAATCAATAAATGATTAACAAGAGGAGAGCTGAAAGCCCGAAGCTGCTCCCTTGTTTGTAAATACAAATTTTTAAAATAGGAATGGGAGGATTTGTTATTTTTGGATTATCTCAGAAAACTGTTGGCACTGAAGGTCTGTCCTCTCAGTATTACTAGCAAGCCGTCCCATGTGTGCAAGAGCTGGAGCTCCACCCATTTCACCGAGTAGACTGCAGTCCTCCAACAAACTTGTAATCTAAACTTTACTCCTCTGTATCCATGGCATGGGGTTCAACCAGCAAGGGGCTGCTGTTGGATTATTAAATTCCGTTTCGACGAGCAGGAGAAAAACTTTGTCTTGGCAGGTAGAAAAAGAATAAAAAGGAGAGAAGTACGGAGTGATAAGCAGCAAATGTGTTTGTTTTGTAAACGGTGAAGTCCACTGTGTGCTGCAGCAGCCTGCGTAGTATCACCATAGGTGAAACTAACGCAAACATAGACCAGACAGGATGAACTCAGTTGCAGGGAATGCCACTGGAAAACGCGAAACTGAGCACCGCAGGTCGGCGGTAAGTGTTCAGTCAGTAGCTGAATAAAACTCTGAATATGTGCGATGACTTCTTGAAAATTATTTACCAGAAAACCCAGTTTTGCTGTGGTATGAAAAAATGCAATGTAATGTATATATCCCCACGTATTTGCGAAAATGTCTGTCAAAAAGCTTTATGAAACGAGATATATGGCGTTGTAGTTCCATCTATCCTGCCTGTGTTTAGTTGGATGGTTTAAGAGAGTTAATCCCGAATTCCAGTAACACGATTAAGTCAGTTGTTTTATCTTTGCATTCAATCGAAATGAACATTTCCACTGTTTTATTGTAAAAGAACCTCGTCTCTCCTCTGTGGCGCAGGTTGTTGAAGGTTGTCCTAGCAGAGAGACCCCGCTATCTCTAGAGGTTAATCCAAGGAAGAGACTTCAGTCAGCGGAGGAGGCTAAATGCGGCAGCCGACCGCCTCCAGAGGGAGCTGGGTCTGTAACTGTATCAGAGTCTGGTCCTTTCGAGAGAAGAGAGAAGGGCAACTTCTGCAAAAAATGTCAGCAGAAAGTCGCAGAACTGAAGAAGCAAGCGCTCGCATTAGCCGACGCTGGATCATTTAAGGTTTGTGAAATAATACTACTAAACATGACTAAATAGCAATTTACATACATAATTTTGTTTATTGTATAGCTCATCTTCTTAAATATTACCAAACTCCATGAACCACAGGTTCTGTGTGATTAAGAAATTTCTGGCATATAATGAATGTCATGCCATGTCTAAGCTATAATATAATGTCTACATTGTGCCAGTGAAAATTTTGTTTTAAATTAAAGATTTATGAAACTTTTTGCCAAGAGGACAGACAGGATTCTGTTGCTCCAATGTGGAACAAGAACATGTCTGATTGTATTTTTGCATTAAACCCTTGGATACCTACTGTGTCTTTAAGCTGTCATTAAGCTACTTTTGTAAGTTTTTCAAGAATGATTTAAAAGTCTGTCTCACAAAAACAAAATAATAAGATACTCTACCAGATTCATGAGAGTTTCTATGAAAGGTGTATCATTTTAAATGCATTGTTTTAGGTGGGGGAAAAAAAGTATTCTCATAGACATGCCAGATCAGGACCTTGTTGAACTACAGTACTTCCTTTCTTCACTTATTAAATTAAGTTTGTTAAACAATTTTGAAAACATTGATATTTGTTATTGCTGTTACCACTGTCTTAGTTGCAAAATGTCTGTGATTTAAATCTATGGTCTATGCATCACAAACTGAAAACAATATTGCAATAAATAGTTATTAGCAACTCCCTGTATCAACTAGATGATCTCTACAATCTGGAACCTAGATAAGCAAATGTTTTCTTTTGAAGTGCTTTTGGAAGAGAACTGAATAAGTTAAAGTGCAGGCAGTTAACAAAATGAGCATCTTAGAAGTCTGCTGACAGAATGACTGAATGTGAACTGACAAAAGGCACTTCAGGAAATGATTGTAAAAGCTCTTGTAGCAGGAAAAAGATACAGCTCCATGTATTGTATAAGCATACCTAGTCACTGCTGTAAATGTCGATAGATTGCGTGTTTCCATTTATTTTGTCTTTTAGGAACATTTTCATTTTGTCCAGTCGCATAAAGACTTTTAAACTACAGCATAAAAGCATGTAAAGAATGTTTAACCCATAGACACAGTTTATTATACTTAAGTTTAAATACAATATACTTTATACTCATTTTAAAATAAGACTGTTGTGTATAGAACTTGTGTTCTGAACTACTTGAAGAAGAACAAGGTCTGTCGATCTCTGGATATTTGGCATGCATTGTAAGATAGGAGTTCACCAAATCTATTTCAAAAGATGCCTTTGATGCATGGTGGCCTGGGAATTGTTGAGTCTAATTTTCAAGGCATACATAAACGAGGTTGTTGAATGACGCTGTGAAGTTTTAGCTTGTAGTTTTTTGCTGCATATTAGATTTGGTTTCATTACACACCTTCAATAACAAGTAGTGATTAGTCCTGGAGTAAGTGCTGAAATCTTTTTGTAGCCTATGCTTCTGAGAAATATGAAATGTCTTTCTAACTGAAGTCTAAAACAAAAATAATTATTTTGCCCCAAACGTATCGTTTTTATGTTCAGTTGTATGTAAATCCTTTATATTTGTAGCTAAAAAATGCTGGCTCCAGGTTATTAAAGTAATGGTTGTAAAGGGGGCTGAAGTGCCCTACAATCCTGTGAACATTTATGTGCCAGAGCATTCTATATCTCTAACAATATTGCGTGAAACAAGTTCTCTCTTAGCCTTAATGTGATTGGGTTCAGTTATGTGCTTCAAAATCTGATTTACCAGGCGGCTTCTATCAAAGTGAAAAATTTATTTTCCAGTATATGAAAAACATGCAAAGTCAAACTCAACTTATAGGCACAGAACATGTAATCTATTCTAACATAAAATAGCACTAAATTATACCCGGCCCATTTACGAATGTAAAACAATGATGTCATTTAATTGTGCTTAATATATTTTTGTCTTTATTAATTTATTTGTAGCTTTATACATGTATACAACACAGAATCCAATGTCTGGGAGATTAAAATGGCTTTGGAAGTGGCCCATTGTTTTGGAAAACAATGCTTATCTTTGCTTTTTGTAAAAAAAAAAGCTTGCAAGCAGTGGAGTCTGCACAGGAAGTTAAACCCAGCTGGCCTTCACTGCGTATTGAAAGTGTTCCTGTATGTTCAACACTAGAATTCCCATAGTTGTTAAATATAGTTTTCAGACTTTTTATTGTTGTTGCAACCTTAGCCGGGGATTAGGTTATTCAGATATTGTCGGAGAGGAAGGTCCCATAGTTAGCTAGAGTTACAAGCCCACTGAGCCTTCCCCACTTCAGGACCTCCCACTGGATAGCTAGTGTGTCTCTGACAGTGAAGGGAGGCTAAAATTTCTATTGTCAACTCCTACAGGGGAAGTACAGTGACTTTTCTGGCCATGTACAATGGCCAGTGTCTTTGGATTTATAATTGGGGCTTTATTTCTGGATGGGAGGTAGCCTTGATTTCCTACCATGGGAACCTAAATCGTGCTCAGGAATTGAACCAGGTGCTACAGTGAGCCTTTGAGGACTGTGAGCTGTGTGGTCCTTCTGGGGGGATGGACTTTCTTCCATTAGGCACACGTTGATGGCTAAATTAGACCCTAATTTTAGATGTGAACGGTACTGTTGAATTGTCTTGTGCCCTGTCGTTTAATGAGGTATCGTTTACCTAGCTTTTGGTGAAAGGACACATTGTTCCAGCTGTCTTGCTATGCACCTGAAAGCACTGTGGCGCAGCTTTGGCTGATAAGAAGTGCATATTGTTGCAGAACGTGGTGAAGGCGCACCAAAACCACAGATTTATTAGGCTTTTATCAACCTTTTAGTTGGATAAAGTATCAGAAAAGCCTACTAATCTCAGTAGATTACTGAATTGGTCAGTAGATTAAGAAAGGATGACACTGTTCCATTTATGTTAGTTTCCATCTGTTAAGCTTTCCAAGACTTGGTCCGATTTAGTTTCTACCAAATTATTTCTGTTTTGAGAAATGCTCTATACAATTTTTAGTTTAATGATACATAATGATAGATTTTCATTCAGCTTGGATTACTTAAATGTTAAGTTTGAAAACTTCCATTTACCATGGCAATAATAGTAGATGTTTTCTGCCTTTTTATTGTCCATTACATCTTCTTTAGGACTCATTACTGTCAATCACGAAAGGTTGATGCTGATATGGACTGTGGAACCCACTCCTTTACTGTCTCTACCGCCAGTTTTATAGGACTAAAATAAGAAATGAAATTGACAAAGTGTTTCATTCGAGGGTATCATTCTGCACTGCTGAGTCCATTTTAGGATGACTTTGGGTGTAAATGCTTCAATTTCAAATTCACTTTATCTTCACTTGACTGTAAAATGTCATTCAGCTATTGAATGTCCTCCCTAGAGTTCATGAAATGTTGCTATTAACTTTCTACTGAAGCATGCAATGCTGTAAATTATTAGAGACTGAAACTGTGATTTGAAAGAAAAAGATTCTCTTGGGACACCTGAAAGCATGATTATCTTCAATTTTATTTGCATTAGAGGGCTGTCAATATTCAGCATACATGTTGTTAAAGTTCTGGATAAGGTGCTTCTAAAAGTGTTCCTTTCATGAAAGGGTTTGGAAAGTAGTTCTGAGTTATGTGTGCCAGTGACAGATCTTGCCCAGGAGAGTTATACTCATCACATAAACAATAAAGCTGAGAACTGCCATTCTTATAGTCTACTGCAACATGAAGATGTAAATGTGGCAAATTTCTATACTCACTACAGCTTTTAACTGCTGGCTTCTTTTGGCATCCCAAACTCACCTTGTTTTTCAGCAGTGAACATTGTTACATATGCCTGTGCCTTTTGCATTCTTAATCGGCTTGTATTTTTTTAACATGACAAATGCCATAAGCATTTGTCAAAGAAGCTCTAAAATTGGGGTTGTTAAAAAATCATAAATCTCTCTACTTCTAAAAAAAAAGACTGTGAATTGTTAAGTTTTTTAATATATATTGAAATAATTGAGAATATTTTTTTAAAAAGTCAGCAAAGGGAGTAAATATTATTTATAATGTATATATTCTAAAAGAATTCTCATCCAACCATTCATCCATCCATCAGAAAACCACATTTACTCCATTAAAGGGTCATGTCAACACATAACATATCCTGAAAATTTTAGGCACTGGATGAAACCACTTACTGAATGGGACTTAAAAATAATTCAAAAACCAAAATCCTTCCAGTGGAAATGCATCTGTTTATTGCACTATTCATTGCTGTAGTGCAGATATTTTCTGTAAAATGGATTATCTTTGAAAAAAGAATGGAGGTAGTGTAATTCAAACTGACAGCAAACACAGCTTGCAAAGGGAAGTCTTCTTCATTTTAGACTGAAGTTAAACAAAACCTGCTTTGTACATTTAAGACTTCATTTATAAAAAGAGATATGTAAACATGCTCATTAAATGCTCAATAGGTATTATGTCAGCCCCAATTTAAAAGATTATCCTTCTAGGTTCCTGTAGTAAAATAAAGATCTTAAAAATGTCTGAAATGATGAATGACAAATAATCTTTGAAAATCCTGAATTAGTTGGAATTATATTGCTCAGTACAGAAAAATGTCCTGTAAGACTTAACAGGTGGAAGATGATAACTTTCAGGTTTAGTTCAAAGCATGTCATTCCTTTTCTATAATAATGAGGAGATCTTTCAACCAAGGTTCAGAAACCCCCTCTACACCTGGTTTTTGAGCTACCCTTAATTAAGGAAGGTGACTACTCTTTTTTTTCTTGAAGGACTGTTCAATAAAAGGACTATATTGTGGTCATGCGATATATTGAATTGGGAGGAGGAAGTTGTCAGCTATCTGATGAAGTTGGGTAAAGTGGATGTCAGTTCAGACAATTGGTCTGCGATTCATATGCCTCTGAAAACTATCCTTCAAACTGACTTTAAAAAATTTTAATTCGTTACTTTTGGCAAGAGCGGTTGAAGCCCTGTGGCATTTTAAAAGGGACCATCTGTTATTTGATATT